ATGTATTAAGTACACCTGTGATGACACAGGCTGGTACAGTGACCCATGACTATAATCTCAGGTTACGTAGTCCCATAATAACTCAACTAGAAGTGATCTATACAACAAGGAGGAGACAGGTGAGATTTGCTCCCCAAGTAGTTTACATAATTCCAAGAATGATGTGAAAGTAGTCAGTGCTGACTCCAGTAAAAGGAGACTGTACCAGAGGCATTTAAAAACATGATAGACTGTTTAAGAAGTTGTAATTGAGTAAGATCAGCTTGTATGTGTCTGTAGCTAACATATGTTTTATTAAGTACTTTAATTATGCATATGAGTAGTAGAATTAGCTGTCAGTTAACCAGAATTCTCGTGATACTGATGGTAGGAGTTGTATCATACCAGTGGAAAATAAGGTTGGTATGGTATTTGTTGAAGAAGGAAATTTATATTGTCTGGAGATAAATGGATAATTGTTGTAGGCATACTGTTTCTGCAACAGAAATTAATAACATTTGAGCAGTCATTTGACACTACAACTAGTGTAAGTTTTTAAAGAACGAATGACGAATTTATAACACTTACAAATCAGGGAGTAGAAATTATGAAAGTAATGTTGATGTGACTAATTTAAAACTGTAAGAAACTCGTTCAAAGTATGACAATGAAATTAGTTGTTATTATAATTAAATGGTATTAAAGGTAGTGTAGCAATATCGGACCGAAATCCTCAAAAATGTGGTTTAGTTAACACTGGTGGAAGTATTTTAAAATTATTATCTGGAATCGCAACTACAGATGATTTACGTAAATAAATAAAAAAGTAGATCATCAGAGACGAATATTCCGATAGGTGAACAGGTGACTAAAATGAATTAATTGAATTTCACGACCAAGAGATCAGAAAAGTATCTAGAGCATTAATAAATGTCACTAACACGTTAATGCACACTAGGGTACAACTTGAGATGTTAGTTTTCAACACAAGGGTTCAGAATAATTTGCAATAATTAGATTTTACTGTTGGAAGTAGTAGCACTGAGTTAGCTAAGTTAGTACAAGCACTTTACATGGCTGCTGATACAAAGTTAAGTTCATACTTTTTGTCCTTGAATAAATTATAAAGGGTGTTAGATGAAACTGAAAGAAGATTACCCCCACATTTACAGTTTGTTATCTCCACTTATGTTAATCAGATTTACATGTATTATATATGGGCTTATGTAAAAACAGCCGCAGTAAGGGATACTTTAAGAACGTTTATAGAGAGACCCCTGAAAGTGACGAATATAATGATTAAACTATATAGAACTATACCATTACCGTTAGCACTGAACAATTCTTTAGACTTAACTATAGAAAATGATAAAACCATATATTGCTGTCTCCAACTGTCAGTATATGTATTTAGAAATAGTGAAGGAAGGCATGCTAAGATCTATAGAGGGACCATTCGAGTATATGACCCTATTTAAGGAATTTATTCAGTATACATAATAACTTGTAACTACGTGATATTCACAGGGATTAAGCACAGGATAGCAGAATTATGTGATACAATTGCAAGAAAAGGAAAGACAAAGCTGCAATTGTGTAGGTTGAAGGATTTAAGGTGGCTGTTATATACATTATTAAGGAGCTGGCCGTAAAAAAAACTTTCACTGACTGGACGAATGCATACAGTTTTAGAACCCCATTCCCTAAAGACATGCTAAGTAAAGAGGACATCAGACATCTAAAATGGTGTGTGATATATTTGCTTGGTATTCAGTAGGACAAAGGACAATATAATTTTAATGACCTAAGAGACATTTGTAGAGACATCAGAAATGACTACACAAAGTTATATTAAAAGGGTTTTGGAGAAAGTGTGCATGATAAGTAGAATAACGGTATTAGTGTACTTAAAGCTAGAAGACTTTCGTTTTCCAGCATGCCAGTACTTATCACATGATAATCATCTTTATTGTGACTATCACATACATCCATTCAAACATTGCGAAAAATAGACAACTTGTGTATTGTATGAATGGATAATTAACAGTAACAGTATGATATTTTGATTCTTCTAAAACAAATTCTAAGACACCAAGAAGCCAGCCGGAAAGAATATGATAAAGAGTCAGTGACAAAGAGAAGAAGACATTGCTTAATTGTATGTTGATGGTCTACAAATTGCTGCATTTTCTTTTTATTTTTAATAATAAGCAACTTAAGTTTCTCATATATTCATATATAATTAGTAATTGATATGTATTAATATTAGATATGATTGTTTTAAGGTATATTATGATTGTTACAAGTATTGTAACCAGTGTGAGGATACCTAACTTCGATGATGAAATATGTCCAGTGCTCTGAATGTCAAAGTGAAGAAATTCAACCAAGCTCATGTAAACGGCGGGAGTAACTATGACTCTCTTAATGGGAGGAGACCCAAACTATCCTCGGATTGGGCGGAACCGACCATTTGAGCCAAAAACTACGGCTCTCTCAGGAGAGTAGAGTTTTATAACTCTCTTAATGGGAGGAGACCCAGACTATCCTCGGATGGAGTGGAACCAACCATTTGAGCCAAAAACTATGACTCTCTTGGGAGAGTGGAGTTCTATAACTCTCTTAATGGGAGGAGACCCAAACTATCCTCGGATGTAATGGAACAACCATTTGAGTCAAAAACATTGCACACACTGTCCTTTGGAGGTACCTCCTCGTGGTACAGCTGGATACAGGCAAGTCCTGTAACTAAACCTCCAACTCGTGAAGGAGAACACTAAAAACCCGTGTAGTGGCCTCGCCAACCACTAGGTAGGGGTGATATCTCCAGGTTGGGAAGGGAAACCCATCAAACCCATATAGAGGCCTCGCCAACCACTATATGTCCAATGGCAGGGGAAGTTATCTCCAGGTTGGGAAGGAAAACCCTAAACCATGATGGGAACTTATCATCCCCATCAGCTATTGGGTACCCAGCAGGGGTTTGCAACCCTACCCTGTATTTGCATTTTATAGGGAACCAGTCGGCCCTATATCAGAGTAGACCGTTTTTCGAAATGGATACTTTTCATACAGAAACATACTATAGTTTGGCGTCTGTGGGGTGCCAGGGTGGCGGCCAGACCCGAGCTACTTGGCACCAACTGGGGATGGTAGCTTCCGAGCGATTCTCCAGCGATGAGGGATCAACCAACATGGGACTTCATGCTTCAGGAATAGAGGAATTGATTACCTATTCCAACACCAGGTCACACAGCCAACGTGTACCAGGTGCAACGGGCTAACTACCTATCTTGGACGATAGGTGCCGAACCACTGAGGTGGACGTCTTGTTTTCTAATGTCTCCCTGAGCGAGACATCTTGTGACACAACCACTATGGTGGTTGATAACCCGAGTTTTGACATAGACTCTCTAGAGTCACATCCCGATCTAAGTCAGACTATGCCTACTGACAACTCCATCATGTAAGCAGGACAGCTATATTCGAATATAGCTGAGGGAGAAAACACCAACCCCTATAGTCCTGACTTAGCTATGACTTTTCTTGACAGTCTGGATGCCTCTATTTCTGCTGACACCTCCATCCAGTCAGCAGACATGCTGATGCTCTCGACGCTAACAGATAGTGGTGATTTGGAAATGACTATACTAATGGAAGATAATGAGACTATAAATGCAGGTAGCATCGCCCTGCAGGCAAACCAGTTGTATTCGACTACAACTAACAGTCTCAGTTGGGACATGATTATGCCTACAGCTACAGAATGCCAGTCTGGAGACTGCCAGTCATCATGAATGATTGAGGACACTATTGACATAAGGGCTCTGCCAGCAGCTACAGACAGCATGTCTGTAGAATGCCAGGCATCGTGCATGACTGAGAGTGGACAGGGTGGAAGTAATATGCCAGCAGCCACAGACAGCACGCCCGTGGAATGCCAGTCATCGTGCATGACTGAGAGCAAAAGCGTAGTAATGGCTTCACCAGTAGCTATTGTGTTGTGGCTATATACCAGGATTCTGGCATGCCATCTCGAGCAGGCAGTGCAGATTAATTCTCACCAGGGAGGCTTCATCCCTCAGGCTGGATGTAGAGATAATATATTTCTACTACAGTCTGCTATGAGGAGGGCTAAGCGAAGGGGAACAATGGCCCTAGGGCTTCTTGACTTGTTGACGGCTTTCGACACCACTGGTCACAAACATCTTCTGGCCAGCCTTGAAAGGTTTGCTATCCACCCACAATTCATCAGAATCGTGGAGGATATGTATAGTGGTTCTTCGACGTCCTTTTGGGTAGGCAGCCAGTCTACTCGCCCCATCATTCTGATGAGGGGCGTCAAAAAAGGGGACCTCATGTCTCCTATATTGTTTAACATCACTCTGGACCCTCTCCTATGCAAACTAGACGAGGAAGGTCAAGGCTTTATGCTGGGTGAAGAACAGGCTCCTGTTTCTACCCTGGCATATGCTGATGACATGGTACTACTGGCTCCAGTCGATGTTGAATATCGTGGATAAATTTTGTTCGGGAAACAGACTTGGCCTTAACATCACCAAAAGTGCCGGAATGCTGATTAGGGGTCGAATAAAACCTTCACCATCAATGACTTCCCCCATGGACGGTTAATGGTGAAACACTCCCGATGATCGGTCCCGAGCAATCTTGTCTTGCCGTTATATTGGTGCAAACGTCTGTCCGTGGTCTGGGGTTGTCGGTGAAGCTGTTAAACTAAACCTAGAGAAAGGGATAGGGCAAATATCAGAGTCACCCCTCAAGCCACATGGGAGGGTAGACATACTCTGCACGTACGCTTTACCTCAACTATTTTACCAACTTGAGCTGGGAAACCTGAATATGAGCCTATTCAAAGAACTAGACAACCTGGTCAAAAAGGCTGTCAAACGTTGGTGTCACCTACCTGCCTGTATGGCTGACGGCCTGCTATACTCCCGTCATCATGACGGGGCTTAGCTATAGTAAAATTTGAGTCTCTTGTCCCGTGTCTTAAGATCAAAATGTATTTGAGACTAGTGCACTCTACTGACCCCGTCACTTTGGCTGGACTTCCGATCCCTACGCCTGACCAGCGATCTAAAACATATCATTCTAATTGGAGGGATATGGAAAGGAAAAACTGGGAGAGGTTGGCCCTGCAAGGGTAAGGTGTGGAGCTCTTCAAAGGCTCAAGATCTGCCAACCACTGGTAGCCTAAGCCATTTGGTATGAAGCCACACCATTGGGTGAAGTGTTT